TCCTTTCCTTTCCTTTCCTTTCCTTTCCTTTCCTTTCCTTTCCTTTCCTTTCCTGTCCTGTCCTGTCCTGTCCTTCACAGCACTATCCTATCCCACCCTGTTGTGTATTGTCCTTTCCTTTCCTTTCCTTTCCTTATAAAACAGTGATCAAATAAGCATGTGTCCTATTCTGTATCCTAAACTCCATTGGTGTCTCATATTTTAGAGCAGTCAATGCAATTTGGGAAAGAAATCAATCAAATCTGTATGTGTGTGTGAAAATATTCAGATGTAACCCCCTTTATAATTGTTAACACATTCATAAGTAACTGCAATTTAATTACATATTTTTTTCTCAGTAACTGTAACAGAGTACAGTTACATCTATTTTGTAATTAAATTTCGTAATTCCATTACATGTAACTAGTTACTCTCCAACACTGGTCTTGGAAGAATGTGATGAGAAAAAAAGGTCCCAATGAAATAGAGTTAGATTTTTGATCACAGAGTCTGGTTCTGTGTTTTGCCAAACCTGGCTCTCTGAAACTGAAAGGAAACGTGTGATTTCTCGAATCCTTTTGTTTTTTTTTTGATGGTTGCACCTGTGCTTTTTACCTTATTGCTATTTGCACATGTTGCTTGATACATTTGTTCTTAATTTAAAAAAAGTATTTTTTGAGTATTTGGATAGTTTGGTGCTGCAACATACATTTATGCACCATAGAAATTATGTAATTTAAAGTCTTTTTCCTACCATGTTTAACTGCTGTTGTTGTTCCCTTAGGTGATGCTGGTGACATGTCAGGTAAGAGACACTCTCCATTTTTTTTTATAAATACAGAGTTGCCATGAAACATTGTCTCTGACACTGGATTATCGAATCTCTGGCATGCTTTAGAATTGAATTTTTGAATACAGCTATATAACTTTATAAATCTAAGCAACAGTGGACAAATAAAGTATTTTTGTATTTGCAGCCACATCTCCCTCTATCCATGTGTGGGAAGCCATGAACAAACAGACCCTCTCTGTGCTACGCTGCCATCATTCTAGGGGCGTTTGCTCTGTAAGCTTCAGTGCCACCGGCAAACTGCTGCTTTCTGTGGGTCTGGACCCCCAGCACACCCTCACCATCTGGAAGTGGCAGGAAGGTACAGGTCAACACACACACACACACACAAACAGCATTCACTCTGCACTCTGCTTTTATATCAGGTTTGTGATCTGAAATTATTTTCAAAGGTGCCAAAGTAGCAAGTCGGGCCGGTCACACCCAGAGGATCTTTGTGGCAGAGTTCCGGCCTGATTCGGACACTCAGTTTGTGTCAGTGGGGATAAAACACGTGCGGTTCTGGACACTGGCCGGCAGGGCCCTGCTCAGTAAGAAAGGAGTGCTCAGCTCCATTGAGGATGCCCGTATGCAGACCATGCTTTCAGTGGCCTTTGGAGCTGTAAGTATTCTTCTGTTTCTACATGATGTTCAGCTCATTTCGTATTTGTTGTTAGAGAGGGAGAAATTAAGGAAAAGTTCACCTAAAATTAAAAATGCAATGGTTTTCCAAACCAGTACAAAGGGGGGTTTGTCAGAAAGTGGCTCTTTGAAATGAAAGCAAATGAAAATGAGAAAATAAGCTCTATATATAGTACCATTCAAAAGTTTGGGATCGGTAAGATTTTTTAAATGTTTTAACCATTCTCTTAATCTCTTATTATCAAAAATACAATAAAACAGTAATATTGTGAACTATTGCAGTTTTTTAATGTAATTTATTTCTGATTCCGAATTTTAGCAGCTATTGAGCCAATCTTTCGTGTCACATGGATCTAATATGCTGATTTGGTGTTCAAAAAACATTTTTTTATTATTATCAATGTTTAAAAAAGTTGAACTTCTTAATATTTTTCAAGAAACTATTTTTTTAGTGTTATTTGATATATAGAAAGTAATTACATAATATTACATAATTTATATAATTTTATATAATTAATCATTTATATAATTGTTTTAGTTTTTACTTTCAATTTTGACCAATTTAATGCATCCTTGCTGAATAATAATAAAAGTATTAATTTCTTTTTTAAAAATTTACTGATCCCAGACTTTTGAACAGTTGTGTATTCCATATTTTAATAAACACACACACACACACACACATGCGCGCGCGTGCGAGCTGTGTTTCTGTGTTTTATGGGGACATTCCATAGGTGTAATGGTTTTTATGTTTTTATACTGTACAAACTGTATTTTCTATCACCCTACATCAACCCTACACCTAAAGCTACCCCTCTCAGGAAACTTTCTGCAATTTTAGATATTCAAAAAAATTAATTCTGTATGATTTATAAGCTTGTTTCCTCATGGGGACCCAAAAAATGTCCCCACAAGGTCAAAATTGACTGGTATTACTATCCTTGTGGGGATATTTGGTCCCCATAATGTGATAAATACCAGGTACACACACACACACACAGAATGAGATTTGAGAGTTGCAAAATAACTATTTCTGTGTTTCACAATGCAAGAAAGTCATAAAGGTTAGAAACGAAATTAGGATGAGCAAGTGATGGCAGAATTTTATTTTTGGGTGAACTATCCCTTTTAATGAATGTGGAATGTGTGTGAGTAGATATTTATGTATACATGCATACGTGTGCATTTGTTTGTGCACTTGTGTGTCAGAGCTTAAATGAACAAGATGCTAAATCAGTAATTAATTCAAAAAGTTGTTTATGATTGTAACTTCAAAAATGACATTTTACTTTTTTAAAGATTCGGTGTAGAAGTATGAGAGAACGGATATGAAAATGCTGTGCTTTGCCATGTTTGTGCTGTTTTTCTCTTAGAGGTCACTAGATTAGTGCAGGTTTGTTTTCTTTTCAGAATAACTTGACATTTACAGGTACCATTAGTGGAGATGTGTGTGTGTGGAAGGAACACATTCTAGTGAGAATCGTGGCTAAGGCTCACACTGGACCTGTGTTCACCATGTACACCACATTACGTGACGGGCTCATTGTGACGGGGGGCAAAGAACGACCGTAAGTGGCTTGACCTTTCCCACTATCTTTAACAGAAATAGTTTGTTCTCTGAATCTGCATGAGCATTCTCAAAAGCTGCTGTGTAGTAAATGAGAGGATTTGTGTGGGCTGCCCTCTGCAGGTCTAAGGAGGGTGGTGCGCTCAAACTGTGGGATCAGGAGTTGAAGCGATGCAGAGCCTTCAGACTGGAGACGGGCCAGATCATAGACTGTGTGCGCTCTGTCTGCAGGGGCAAGGTACAGCACTTACACAAAATCACTACATTGAAGAGAATGGGAAATACTGGATCTGAAAGATTATGTGTCAGATGCATTTACATTGTGACTGTGCCTCAGATGCAGTCAACAGAAACTCGGTAAAGGTGTGAACCAAATGGTTCATACAATTAGTCTCACAGACAGAACTTCGGGAGAAGCTACGATTCTTACAAGGGTTAAGATTCTTGAAGGATGACATCGCTGCTGAAGAACTGCTACACTACACCTTCAGTAAATTCTTGTCCCCACAAGAACTTTGGCCAAGCTTGCTTAATTTATGTATTAGAGAATCTAATACATTGGCGAGCCACCCAAACCCCTGCTCAGCCAAATACAGCAAAATCTAACAGACCTCTGGGAGTACATTCTGGTCAGGAATCACAAGAAGTTAGACATGTGCTGTCTTTCTGACATCAATGAATATTCCTCAGTAGAAATACAAATTCTGTGGTAATAGTGCCAGCCCTGTTATTTATTATTTATTTACAGATGTGATCCTATATGTGCTGTACTGATCAGTAATCTATCAGTAATGATGTACTGATAGATACGATTTACTCCGATGAGTTATGCCTTGTGTGGGTTGCTGGTGTGCTGTTTTGTCCCTGCCAGACTTTTTTCCCCCTATTTTTTTTATTTTATGATGATTGTGATTTATTTTTATTAGTATTTTTCTCTTTTTGTGCATATGCAATTAATTACACAACATCTCGCCCACACCATTTTTGCTATCTAATAAATAAACAGGTTTTTGGAGTCATTTTTTTGAAAGAAATTAATACTCATAATACCGGAGTCACTTTTTGAATGAAATTAATACTCATAATACCAAACTATAATACTATAATACTTATTCTGCAAGGACTGTATGACAGTGACAGTACAGACATTTATAATGTCACTGATGTAACTTTTGCTATTAAAAAAAAAAAAACTTAACTGTTGTCAGCACTCATAATAATAAGTAATGGTTTCTAAGGAAACACTGGAGTAATGGCAATAATCTTCAGTATAGCAATACTACTATAGAAATAATAGAATATATAAAAGAGGGGGAATTTTTGAATTTGTGAAGAAAGAGGAAACAAATACATAAATTAGGGATGCACGATATTGGATTTTTGCCGATATCCGATATGTTTTTCAACTCATTTTGGCCGATAGCTGATGTCGATACCGATATATTTCCTTTTGTTTGGAAACAACACCAAGTCTCTCCTGTGCAGAAATTATAAACAAATTATTTAAAATTTTGGTTAGTTTTGAACATAAACTTATTTGTTAGTTCTTTTATAATGACAGTACATTGAAAGCTTTGAAAATAATTATAAATCTATAACAATAACTAAACCTATATATCAATCGCTGCATTTGTTTTTTAATTTGTTTTTTTTTTTCAGAAAAAATTAAAAAAATTTTTTTTTAAGATTTAACAGTTGTAGATGGTCTAAGGCAAAAGAGTTGTAAAAATTCTGAAAATCTTTTAGAGCTCATAATTCATTAAAAAAAGCGTACACATTAATGTATAAATCTGCATATATAAAATTATTTAATTTACAAGTGTCATGTTTGTGATTTTTTTTTTATTATTCATGTGTAAGCTATAGCTTCTGACCTTTAAATCAAAACACACTCATAATTTTATGACACTGATACTGCTTTATTCAGAAACACTAGTTTCTTAGTGATATGTGTATTTTACTTTTATTTTGTTACAAGTAGGCTAACAGCACCCCCCTATGTAAATACAACGCCTTACCGGACGGGCATTAGGACCCGTGGGAGACCGGCCGCTGCTGCTACTGCACGCGCGGTAGTGACTGTTGACAGCTGCACACTGAAGGCATCATCTTGCCTTCATCTTTACTTTACTTGCATACTCAAAGTAAATGCAGCGATCCAAAACAGTGAATCTAATCATCATTCAAGCAAAAGTTGCTTCAAGAATGACTGCACTGCTGACGTGATCTAATCGCTAGCATACCCTGAGCACGTGTGAGTTAATCCACTTATCGGCAAGACATATCGGCATAATTTTTCATATATTGGGCCGATGCCGATATTTGCATTATCGGCCGATTCCGATATTGGTCCGATAATATCGTGCATTCCTAAGATAAATGCATATGTACATACATATATTTCACAAAATTTCACCATCCAGTTAGGCTCATCAACCATAACTCCTTCAAAAACAGCTAGAAACCTTGGAGTTGTGATTGATGATAAGCTGAATTTCTCAGACCACATTGCTAAAACTGCCCGGTCCTGCAGATTTGCTTTATACAACATTAGGAAGATCAGGCCCTTTCTTTCAGAACATGCAACACAACTCCTTGTTCAAGCTCTTGTTCTATCCAGGCTGGACTATTGCAATGCTCTCTTGGCAGGTCTTCCAGCCACTTCTATCAAACCTCTACAATTAATCCAAAATGCCGCTGCAAGATTAATCTTTAATGAGCCGAAAAGAACGCATGTCACACCTCTGTTCATCAATTTGCACTGGCTACCAGTAGCTGCTCTATATATACACCTTGCTACGTGTACTGCATTAGGCTAACCGAGACTTGTCATTTGCACTTATATATTGTTGCTCTTTTGTTAGTTTTGACTGCTTTTATTGTCCTCATTTGTAAGTTGCTTTGGATAAAAGCGTCTGCTAAATGACTAAATGTAAATGTAAATATATGATGTTTCTAAAGCCAGTAAGAACCAACTAGCCTTAGTCAGAAATATCAAGCTGGCTATTTTTCCTGATAAATAGTATGGCTCCATGTGTCTTCCTCCTTAATTGTTCAGGGGAAGATTCTCGTAGGCACTCGGAATGCTGAGATCATTGAGGTTGGTGAGAAGAACGCAGCATGTAACATTCTGGTGAACGGCCACATGGATGGTCCTATCTGGGGACTGGGAGCTCACCTCACCCGAGACGTCTTCCTGTCTGCTGCTGAGGATGGCACTGTGCGCCTCTGGGACATTTCAGAGAGGGTAAATTATATAATGCCTGTGCATAGTGGTTTTTTAGAGATACCAGATGAGTCAAATGCTCTCTTGTATGGAAAAACAGAAGATGCTGAATAAAGTGAACCTCGGTCATCCTGCACGCGCAGTCAGCTACAGCCCAGAGGGCGACATGGTGGCCATCGGCATGAAGAATGGAGAGTTCATCATCCTCCTTGTTACCTCACTAAAGATCTGGGGGAAGAAGAGAGATCGGCGCTCTGCCATACAAGATATCAGGTGAGACTGATGCTAATTATGCATTATTTAATTTGATTAAAATATCCATAATAATTTCAGCCACTAAAATAAATTTTTATTTTATTTTATTTTTGAGGGTGGGTTAGTCATGTTTTCACTGCAGGGTAAAAAATGGAATGAAGTCGCAATTATGAAATACTAAAGACAATTCCATTTCCATTTCAGGCAGAAACAAATTTCTGTATTGCTGTTTCTAGGCGAATGTTATTTCATTCTGACATGAACGTGGTCTATTTGCAATAACTAAAGTTTATTTTCCTCAGGTTCAGTCCAGACTCACGCTACCTGGCTGTGGGTTCCAGTGAGAATGCAGTAGATTTTTATGACCTGACGTTAGGACCGCAGCTCAACCGCATCAACTGCTGTAGGGACATCCCTAGCTTTGTCATGCAGATGGACTTTTCTGCTGACAGCTGCTATGTGCAGGTACAGCATGTTGAGCTGTGGTTGTGTGTGTTTGCTTGTTTGTATGAGAGAATGTAGTACTTATCGAAGAGTACTTATCACAGCAATTATATACTGTAAATTAGAATACAATAAAAATGTACATTTATATTAAATGCCATTAGTTGAGAGCTTTTTGGACCAACTTAAGTAGGACTTAAGTACATTTTAATCTATATAATTTCATAATTACTTCTGTTGTCTTTGAAATACGGTTAAAATGTACTGCTGAATGTACTGACAAGCATTTATTAAAGCAATAAAGCCCACAAAGCTGTGGTTTACATGAATTTAGAACAGCTAAGGGGTAGGGTTGTGACGGTGAGGAAATTTTCCCACCGGTTAATCGACGTGTGACAACACCAGTAATACCGGTACTGGAAATAAGTAAACATGTATAATATATAACCAAATAAATAAGAAACGTAGAACGTTTATTAGCAAAATGAGTAAGAAAGCTTGGAGGCACGGCATACACCTTGATGTAAAAAAAATAAATAAATGACAAAGTTTAAATAAAGTAAAAATCAGTAAACAATGTGGAACCAATTAAATAAACGAATGTTTAAAAAACTTCCAAAATCATCTTAGATAAACGGCAAAAGTCAACAGGCTTTTCAAAATCCAAAATATTGCCAAACAGGCGCTTTTGCATCTCGTTTCGAAACTAAATCATCTGCCATCGTCTTGTCTGTCTCACCTTACTCTTCTTGTGAGTCAGCTCGACTCACTCTCCTCACTGAATAAATGAAATCTGATCCGTGATGCGACTGTCGTTCGGCATGCTGCATTGAGCAGCCGCGTTCAGTTTTTAATTGTAGTGTCTGTTCTTTTACTGAACTAAATGATTTTTATTACTATAAAAAATCAAAACGACGGTGGGGGTCGGTGCCACGGTGGGCAAGTGACGTAACCAGTGTTGCGGCTTAACACCGGGTATCACCGTCAGCACCGTCTATCACGGCAAGCCTACTAAGGGGTGTTATTAGGTTGATTTGAGCTTTAAAAAGATGAGGTTGATTTTGATTTGAAAAGAAAGGCTTGCTCACTCAACTGTTTGCGAGATGGAGAGGAATGTGGAAAATGAAGCATACATTGGACTTAAGCCAGGGATTCCCAAACTGGTTTGAGAGGGAACTGCAGGGGCTTTATGAGCTGATAAAATAATTTTAAAATAAAAAAGTTCAAAATAAAATGCTTAACAAAAATATATATTATTTGTTTTTATTTACAGATGTTTTTTTTTTTTTACTTGCATGTCATGTGAACATGTGAATGTGTTGTTAAATTATTGAAATATTAACGTAACATCTCAGGTTGTGTACTTGAAGTAAAGATTTTACATCAAATGGTTTCGGCTGACAAAAACGTTTCGGTTTAGGTGGAATGTGCCACTCTAGAGTGGATAAGCACCGCCTCCGCAGAAGAAGATCAACGCCTGCTTCTATAGCACTGCGTGTTTAGCCCCTCCCACCGATTTGAGCATGTACTGTAGTGTAAATAACGAGAGAGGCAAACGCAGGTCTACACAGAAACCAAACGATAAACTGTATTGATGAACTTTATTTTTAATGAAGTGCCAGACCACATCAGTAAGAACTTGGTCCTTTGTTCACTTCATCTTGATGTGGATTAATTTACAAACAATCACAATTTGACGCAGGATTTTCAGAAAGATTGAAATTAAAAGACGATGATGCTGTGCCGACTATACTGGATAAGATGTCGCACCACACAAGTGTGAGTCACTGTTTCCATTACGTGGTCACTATTGCTTTGTCTGTTATTACAGATGGTTTGATATGTACTGAGTATTTATGTGTTTTTCGACCTAAATCACAGCAGCGTCCATCTATGAGGAATGTATATGCTGTCAAACATACACAACTATTAGCCAATCATAGCAGTGGGCGTTTACCTCCGAGTCTACAATCCGGCACGCCTATTCAAACAGAGCGTTCTGATGAAGGGGGTTAAAAACAGGACAGAAAATAAGTCTATTACTTCTAAATATTTATTGATGTAAAAATCTTGATAACATTATAAGTGGACCTCAGAGAACAGTATAAAAAGGCAGGTCATGACCCCTTTAAGGTCTTTCTCTGTGCTGTTTCTGTGCCAGAGAGCATTAGATCAGTTCTACACAAAGTTACTCACTCTGTCTGCATGTTTTGCTCTCTGCAGTTGTCTACTGGTGCTTATAAACGTGTAGTCTATGAGGTGCCTTCTGGGAAGCAAGTCACTGAGCAAGCAGTGATAGACAGAATAACCTGGGCCACATGGACAAGGTAAACGGACTGCAACACACTCACCCATCAGCAGCTGAAAAGCAAACAGTACACTTTAAAGATTTCATTATTCCCACTGATTGAATCGAGACCAGCCAATCAGATTAGTTCATTGTACTTGCAGTCGTTCTATCAGATTGCAAGATCATAAGTATTACTTTGGTGAGGAGGTTGGATTAATTTGTGTTCTCTCATTCTGTCCAAATTTAAAACGTGAATTTAAAAATTACACTACGAATTGTTTTCAGCTAACTCGGTTCTCGGAGGAATCTAATTCTATCTGCGATTGCAGCATGTTGCTTTTTTCACAGCACTTCTCCTGATTTATTTTCTTACTCGAGCTAAATTTCTTGTTTTGCTGCCTGGTGTACCTTTATTATAGACATTCTGGGTAACAGTTGGTGGTTCCAGCACTGCTGGCATCCCGTAAAATCAAAATGAAAGCCACTTCTGTCAGTAAAGTGACTGTTCTCAATGGCTGCTGTAGTACTGGTTTGGGTGTCTCTGTAGTGTCCTCGGGGATGAGGTGGTGGGGATCTGGTCCAGGAACACAGATAAGGCAGATGTAACCTGTGCTTGTGTGTCTCACTCCGGCCTCAACATTGTCACAGGCGATGACTTTGGAATGGTAAAGCTGTTCGACTTTCCGTGTCCAGAGAAATTTGTAAGTATACCCCATTTTTGCTGAAATAAAGTGTTGTTTTGTGTGAAAAAGACACTTTTTTGTGATGCGTGGTGAGTTAAGAATGGAAAATGAAGATTCTGTCATCATTTACTCGCCCTCATGTCGTTCCAATCCAAGTTTTTGAGTGTTTAATTTAGTTTAGATTTTTATTTTGTTTTCAGTTTCAAATGATTTCGTTTCGGTTGTTTTGCAGAGTCTGTTTGTTTGTTAATTTTATTTTAGTTTTTGTTTCTGTTTATATTTCACTTAACATACATGAATGAGTAAATGACTTGGCAGGGACAACTTTCGTAACGATGCTTAAATTATTAAAAAAGATAATTGTAGACTGACACACAGCATGATTAAAACAACTAAGAACTTATGTATTTTTGCATACATTTAATCCTTTTAAAGAGATAGATCACTCACAAACTAGAAGTCTGTCATCATTTACACACCCTCATATCATTAAAACCTGTACAAATTAAAAATCATCACGCATTCTTAATCATGCTTTGAAACGAATGGCTCCAAATTATGATTGTTGGTTAATCTTCTGTAACTTTAGCTAAAGCACTAATTTTCAGATTAATTGCTGTATCACTTTTTTTTGTTAGACACATTGATGGTAAAAATGTTAATTAGCCTACTTTCTGTATTTACCTTATGACTACAAATGTGTACATGGGCATTTTATGGATATTTAGACACACTGCCACTCCTCTGTCCTCTTCTCCTCTTATCATTTATACAGTATCACCATAAAATATAACAACACGCAATAACAGAACACATTGTGGACAACTTACATGTGTAACGATGTTTGCTTCTGGTGATCTTATGAATATTTGTACAAATGAAGGTGGGCTTCACTTGTTGATGGTATTTCATAATTGTTGAGCTTCAATCACAATTTTATTGATTTCTGCCATACAAAGAGTTTGACAAAAGTCCCATCTAGAATTTAAACAGAAGACGTAAAAATGCTACACATTTAAAAAGTGTAATAATGTCAAATTAAAAGATTGACTTTAAAGGATATTTTCAATTATGTTTTTAATAATCTTGCGCTTTGAATAAGTGCACATTTTTGATGTTGACTAACATACTAAAGCATGTGTGAAATATTTGATTATAATTTTACCTGTAGTATGTAGTGCATTTGATATTGCATTTAAATTGAATATATTTTGCATTGACTAAATTGCAACTTCATTACAAATGTGCAATTACAAATATATTTAAATACATGACTTTAACCATATTATTGTAAAATAATTATGAAATCACATATACATTTGTGCTCAAGTCCAACTTAAGTGGGTCAAAAAGCACTCTAAAGCTCAGCTAATTATATTTAATATAAATTTAAACAAATACATTTTCATTTGAATGAAGTGTCTGAAAACATTACATTCAGTTCACACTTAAATATATTATGTAAGGGATAATGCACGGCTAGCTGTGCATTAAACGATTTTAATGCATGACATGGAGGCCAAGAACCATAGATATGTAGAGATGACCTCTCCAGATATGTTGACCCGTCTGCCATTTTGGAATGGTCAACTTGATGTCATTCGCCATAATAATCAATGGATATTCAAAGATGTACATGCATAAAACTTGCTGTTGTAGACGCACACAGTTAACTTGCGCTCGAGGATTCGCAGACCGTTTTCAAAAATGGCGGATGGCTTACATATCGCGGCCCATAGAAACAGTCGCTAATGAGGCGTCTATGTATATATATCTATGCCAAGAACCACCCGACGTGAAGTGCAAAAAATTTGACCGGAAGGGTAAAAAAATAACGGTTATTTTCGTCAGTTACGGCTCGTTAGCTCTAGCATTCTGCCCGCTTCAAATCAGAGACGGATGAAGTAGTGCGGCAAGATCACATTTATTTGAATGAATTACAGCATTTATTTGAATTAATTATCGATCAATAGAGAGAGAGATGTCTGTGTGTGAGTTACCTCCGTCTGCGCGTCTCTCTCTACAAACAATGAAGCTGTGTTTAGTTACTTCACAAACAGCTATTTTACCATCTCGTTGCTGAGGAATATAATGTAGTGATCCAGTATCTAGGCTATTGTATTAATAAAACTCGTGGGGCAGCGTTGACGACAAGTTTCTGTATGTGCACAGTGCGATTTGCGATCTCCGACCCCTCTCTCTGTCTGTCTCTCTCTCTGTGTGTGGGTTTGTGTGCATCAATTAAAGCGCATTAATATAGAACGGTGATTAAACTGAATTGGAACTACCTGTGCATTAAACGGTTTTACCGCATACCTGCCAGCCAATCAGAATCGAGTATTCGGACAGACCATGGTATAATTGAAAGTATTTTTTTTCTGTAATAAGTACTCTTTTTTTAAAGTATGCTAAAGTGTACTTCCCTCTCCACAATGGCCAATAGTACTGTTCCTACACATAAATAGGAACCACAGACTAATTTCCGCTGTCTCTGCATATTGTATTTTACTGAATGCTGAGAAAATGCAATAACACGTGACAGTACATCACAAGACAGTAAAAAGGGCTGGATGTGACAGTTCTTGCCAACACAGATCAAAACATTCTCTCAACAGCCAAAGTTCAGCTGTTTAATTGGATTTTAAAATGTTTATGTCCATTATATATCCGTGCTCTAACCTGTGCTGCACACATTTCTGCTTTTTCAAAAATAAAATAGCAAATTGTCTGACTAGAATCTGTTTCCTCAGGCCAAACACAAACGTTTTCTGGGCCACTCTGCCCACCTGACCAACATCCGCTTCACCAACGGGGATCGCTTTGTCGTCAGCGCCGGAGGCGATGATAGAAGGTGCTTGTTCTGTTGTGGTTTCATTCTGTTCCTCGCAGGCCCCATATTGCTGTAATTTCCTTTTTTGAATCAGCATATTGAGACAGTTTCATTGGTTTGCTTCACTGTGTGTCCAGTTGTCAGTTTAGTTGGAACACTTTTAACAAAAACAATTTTGTTCTGTTCTTTCGACCCAGAACTATAAAATCTAGACCTTTGTTAGACCTTAAACACACACACATACACGTATGTACATATATGTGTGTATACAGACACACATAGTATAATAAACATAATTAAATAAAGTAAAAATAGTAACACTGTGAAATATTATTACAATTTTAACTTCTTCTATTTAAATATATTTTAAAATGTAATTTATTCCTGTGATGCAAAACTGAATTTTCAGCATCTTTACTCCAGTCTTCAGTGTCACATGATCCTTCAGAAATTATTCTAATATTCTGATTTGCTGCTCAAGAAACATTTCTTATTATTATCAATCTTGAAAACAGTTGTGCTGCTTAATATTTTTTGCAAAAAATGTTTTTTATTTTTTTTGTAACAATGTAAATGTCTACTATGCATATACAGTATAAAATATTTTGGAATGACCCATGACTGCAAAATTAGGATCCAAAATTAACTTTTTGCCATATTGCCAAGTGAAATTTGAATGAGTGAATGAACAAATACATTCATAAAAAATGGACACCAAACTTTCTATGAAGTTCTATGAAGAAACAGACATGAAGCGGCAACGATTAATAATACACTTGATTGCAGAATGCTGTCATTAACCAATCAGAACCAAGAATTACTAGGAGCTGCACTAAAGTGAGTATTATACATGTTTCTACAATGAAGAAGTTTTCTCTTGTCTTTCAGCCTGTTTGTATGGCGGTGTGTTCACTCTTCTCACTGAGGGCATACAGTCTTCTCTCCTCTGCTTCAAAACATCACAAGCCCAGCTGACAGCACGAGTGAACAGACTCGTGGAATGAGGAACATCAGGCGGTGGATTTCACAGAGTCTTCACTACCCGTCTGCATGCGTCTTAATGAGCCGTCGCCCATACCTGAACTCAAGCGTTTCTGAATGATAGTTGGGTCAAGGTGTCACATGACCCAGCATACAGTAAAAGATCTATCAGATGTGTATGTTTACCCCCCCCTTTTTTTTTATTTTTTTAAACAGAAAATCCTGAGCTACAAGTTGCAGAACGTAATTTATTTTGGAGTCCATCTGTATCAATGTTTTTAAGAATTTCTTCCAAATGAAAAAGAGCTTGTAGCAAGCGAAGTACGATTAGCCTTAAACTACCCGTGTTTTTGTTCATTTAGGTGTGTTTTTCTGTTGGAGATTCTGTTTTTTTATTATAACCTGATTGTTTTCCGTTGTATTTCTGTTGGTTTGGTTTGGTGGTTCTTTTTGAGGTTTATTAGATCTCCTGTGGCCTTCTCCCTGAATGTAACACTGGCGTTATATTCTAGGATGTCAGCATGCCAAAGCATTCTATGCACTGTATACTTGACCTGCTCACTGTGGTAGTCCAGTGGTCTGTTAATGTCGATCTTGAACGTGCTCTCCCTAAACCGTAGATGACACTCCTAACCTCATATGTAGCAACTTTAGCGCGATTAGTGAACTTGAGATGTCCGTTTGTGCGTCTGTGCGAGTAGGTATGAACCGTATGCTTTGTGTTTCATGTCTGAGATCGAAGTTTAAAAGAAAACATGATAATGCAATCCCTCAGAAAATGAATGAAAAGAGTTTGTTTCAATGCTGTCTTATCTGAAATCACTGTTCATCTTGCTGCTGAAGCCTTTACAACATCACATTCATTCTGATTAGGATTTTTTTTTTGTATTGTTTTTATTTTAATTTTACTCAGCTGGATTGTCAAGGCTTAGAGTGAACTGAAGATATGAAATGCAACGTGCTCTCCTTCAGTGTCATTCTGATTGAAAGAGATGTGCTTAATTCATATTTTGATTTTCTTGTTATCAATGTAAATATCATTTGTAAAGACATTCTTTTGTATATTTTTGTGAAATGTTTCTTAAAAGCCAAATTTAATAAAAAAAACATGTACATATACAGTGTTCTGACATGAAACTCTAGATGGCGCAGTCCGATAGGTCTAGCTCAATCTGACCTGGCGACATCATTGTCACATGGCAGCTGATTGGTTCTCTCCTGTAGCCAATGAGCTTACTGCTCATTATTCAAACACCTGGCTTTTGTTTGCTGTAGCAGTTTGCAGCGCACTTCAGAAACCCTCCACCTTCCCCAGCTCCACCTGTATAGATCTGCTATGAGGTGATTCATGTATGCTATATGGGGGTTATTCATATGTGTTATATGTGCAGCAGCAGTATTTCTTACATACTCACAGCAGCATGTTGTGGATGTATTGGCAGTAGCAAGTCTCTGTACTTGCTCTGCTGCTGCAGCAGCATAGCAGTTCTATTTCTCCAAGACCAAATACATTAACATTGTCATGTACATTACTATGCCAATCCCTCCGAGAGTTGTCATGACAGAAATATATATATATATATATATATAATTCTGATTGATCGTTTGGGCTTAATACATATCTGTGACATATCAATTATAACACTAAATATAGTTTACACAGTACTCGGTACATACTTATAATGAGGACAGAGTCAAAATTATTTTTGGCATAAATGCTGCTTAACTTCTTTTGAACCCGGAAGATTCCTTTAAAATATTTTGACGATTTGTTGGCTTTGATCATCTTCAGGACAAGACTTTGTCAGCGTAAAACAAAGAACACATACTGTGATAACGAACTTCCTTATGATCAAGACAACATGAGATTTACTTACACTTTTTATAATGTAATCAGGAAGTATTTCGATTCAATTCTGTGATTAATCTATCATTTCGTAATAAAAACAAATGACTTGCATTAAATCTGAGCTGTACCTTAAGAAATGCTGATTCATTATCACATGATTCAAATCACATAATAATAGTCTGTGATTAAGCTATGCAAATGACCCTGAGAATATTCCCCCAAAAAAGAATGATCTTAACAGGCAATGGAAAACCATATATTATATATATACTCTTCCTTATATACAACACACTAACACAACTGCAGGGTCTGATATTTGTTTTTCTTCTATTATGTCATCTGTGGTCATATTAATAGTTTTAACAAATCAGAACCCCTAACGTTAGCTTATTATCATGCTTTTGGCTGATCTTCAATAAGCACATAGCTATGCATGCACTAACAACTTCATAAACTATAACTGTGATGGAGAGAAGATGGGTGTCAGATTTTGACAGAGAAAGACGAGCCGCATGAGCAGCCGTGTTCAGCCCGTGGGTTCTTCAACACCTGAAAGGAAGAACGGATGAGCTCCTGACTGAAGTCAATGGTGGATCCTTTCACAAACTCCAGACTGTCCTGGTCAACTATTATCTCAACACCATTCTTTTCAAACACTCTGGGGAAAAAACGAGACCAAAATAAAAGCAAAAGATCTACAAAACTGCATTATCACATCACTGATGACCAAGTATGTATATTGGATTTCTGTGGTATGAACACTAAGACTTAAGATTTGGTAATAAAGGTACAAACTAGGGGTCGACCAATGTGTTTTTCAGGGCCGATGCTGATACAGATTATTACAGATCAAGTAGACCGATAACCAATATTTTGAACCGATATATATGTCAGTTGTAAAACTGAAAATTAATGTCAAAATTAATAATGACAAGGGCTCTGACAAAAACTTTCTTTAAATGCTTTTAAATGATTTTATCGGCAAATCGGTTTTGAAAATGACCGATATTGATAACCATAAAAATGCTTAATATCTGCGACAATAATCGGTCGACCCCTAGTACAAACCTGATGTTCTTTGGACAGAGAACTAACTATTCGAAATGTTAGGTCAACTAGATTAACGTGGAGCAAGTTTAAAATCCGTACCCTCATCTTTTAAATGGTGATCTCGCCTCCTTAAATTTATCAAAAAATAAATAAATAAATAAATAAATAAATAAAAACTAATGTAATAAAAGCAAAAGATCTACAAAACTGCATTATCACATCACTGATGACCAAGTATGTATATTGGATTTCTGTGGTATGAACACTAAGACTTAAGATTTGGTAATAAAGGTACAAACTAGGGGTCGACCAATGTGTTTTTCAGGGCCGATGCTGATACAGATTATTACAGATCAAGTAGACCGATAACCAATATTTTGAACCGATATATATGTCAGTTGTAAAACTGAAAATTAATGTCAAAATTAATAATGACAAGGGCTCTGACAAAAACTTTCTTTAAATGCTTTTAAATGATTTTATCGGCAAATCGGTTTTGAAAATGACCGATATTGATAACCATAAAAATGCTTAATATCTGCGACAATAATCGGTCGACCCCTAGTACAAACCTGATGTTCTTTGGACAGAGAACTAACTATTCGAAATGTTAGGTCAACTAGATTAACGTTAGCAAGTTTAAAATCCGTACCCTCATCTTTTAAATGGTGATCTCGCCTCCTTAAATTTATCAATAAATAAATAAATAAATAAATAAAAACTAATGTAATATATGGTATAAAATATTTTTTTATAATTTAGTTATTTAGCAATTTAAATGTTTTAATTATTTAGTAACACAATTTGAACCAGTGTTATTATTGTTAACACTAAACCCATAAAAAAAGTTTCCGTACTACAAATGAAAAAAATGGTAACTGAAATATAACTCCAAAACAAAAAAAGAAGAACGAATCCCACACTATCCTCACTTGCAAAATATATCAAAATATTTATTAACAAACAACGTTTTGGTTCATGATCTTCTTCAGGCATGGCCATGGGCCAAAACATTTTTTTTTCAAGTCAGGATAGTGTGCCGGATTCATTCTTTTTATTTTTTTTTGAAGTTGGACCTTTTTTGGTCGTTTTTCCGACGCACCTATCAATGACATACAGGTGTGCGAGGGTGATTGTTAACTGAAATATAACTGAATTTTTTATTTAAAAAATAAAATATGAAAAACAAACTTATTTCAGTCTCCAAGGCAACATCTCTCATTTTCATTTAGTTTACACTTAATGTACCAAAATAACTAAAACAGAAATAAAAGTGAAACTTTTTTTTGGAGAGAAATATATACATGAAAGCAGAAAATACAAAATAAAATCTAATTCAAAATATTATCAAAAACCATAATAGTCTGTCAATAACTAAACTAATGCTGATTTGTACTCTTTCTATAGCATCTGTTACAAAAGTTTTTGTATAAAACATTATAAAACAGCTATTTTACTTTTTATATTAACAAATAATTATTAATAATTACCAATACCACTGATTTATATTATACATAAACAATACTTTTAAAATTTAAGTTCACTGGCTATTTTTTATTTATTTTTTTACATTTATTAGAATTGATAAACAAGAATTGTGGATTCTCTCATGTTTACTTAATGTTTATTGTTAGAAAATAAAATCATGTGTTTAAACTGTTATCAGAGTCATGTCTTAACAATTAATAACATAGCTGCAAAACTCATAAAACATACTTGTAAAATATAACAGGATATTGACCTCCTGAGGTTGATGAAAAACATTAAGCATCTTTGACTGACTCCATGTTGAAAAATAACTCAAAATTGACCTTTATGATTAATAATTAATATTAAAGGGGTCATATGATGTTGCTAAAAAGAACATTATTTGGTGTATTTGGTGTAATGAAATGTGTTTATGCGGTTGAAGTTTCAAAAAACACATTATTTTCCACATAATGTACATTATCGTTTTAGGTAGGCGTGGCTGACTCTTAACTTTTATAAAGAATATCTCTTTGGATTTGAGACTTTAGTCTTTGCAACTTTACAGATCTTCTTTATGCACCAAGAGCTTGTAATACCTCAAAGAGAAAGGAAACATTGAAATCGCATCATATGACCCCTTTAACCTTTTTTTTTCTTCAAGCCCTATTAGTAATTACCTGTCGTCTTCATTTCTAACAGTATCCACTGCGAATTTATACTGGAATCCTGAACATCCGCCTCCCTCCACTGCTATCCTCAGATACTCTCCCTTTTCCATAATCTCAGCGAGCCTCTGCAGGAATAATAATCAACATTTTAATTTGATTATTTATTGGTGTCCATGTCTACTATGACTGGTTTATCTGTTACTCCCAAAAATGTGATCACTGAAGTATCTAAGATGAAGTGCAGGTGGGATGATCAAACCTCGAGACAGGACTGACTGAGACGGATGTTCTCCGCTGGGCTGCTGCTGGAGGGGTTTTGGGGCTCCTCTTGGGTGGAGGAGGCGCTGCTGTAGCACGCGGTGGAGGTGAGAGGAGCTGAACATGTTCGGACTCTTTGAACTCTGGACAACAACAAACACACACAATAACGCATGGCTAACATGCACAATAATAACAATAGGATTGTATTAACGTACATAAAAAATAACTATAAAACAGATTAAAAAGCTTTGGCATTATATGTGTGTGTTAACAGAACGGATAAGTTTGTAAGAAACTGAAATCAAACGAGTAATTTAACTATCACTTAAATATTTTAATTCAAATGTGTCGATAATTAGTCGACAAGCATTAAGTGCTAGTTTAAATTATCAAATCATATCATCTGTGCCGTTAGCTCACTATCGCATCTGTTCTCAAGCTAAGTTAGCTAGCTAAGCTACGTGCATTAGCTATTATTTGAAGATAAAGTACCAAACAAAGACGTATTATATGAGACAACACATCCTGAATGTATTATTGCCATTTCGCTAAATTGTGCATACTTGAAAAGGTGAAATGACGCTGTTTTAGGGGCGCTTATGAGCAGTCTTCTGGCGAATGACATCTTCTGTAGCCCTGATACTACTGCGCATGCGCATGAAGAAGTTATCTAGAGCAAGGGTTGCCAGATTCAGTGGTTTAACCCTTTTATTTTAAAAAAAATTTCTGTCTGTTAATTTCTGAAAATAATCTCTTAGGTTAAACAGAATATAAAAAGGAACATAAACAAAATGCTAATGGTTTACCTTACTAATGGTTACTTTTCTAACAGTCAAGATTTTTCTGTTTTAAGTCACAAATGCATTTTAATTTTTAATCCAATCTATGCAGGTTTGATGTGCAATAACATTTTTTCTGCAAACGTGTAGTTTTATTGGCAAACAAAAAATGACTTCTGTAAAAAGTGTCTGCTGTGGAAAAAAATCCTATTTATATAGAAAAAAAAATAAGCTGATATGTGCAACATTAATTATGACTCAAATATCAAATGTTGCCCAATCAAGCCTCACAGATGCCAGATTTTTGTAATGTACCCTAGAGCAGTGGTTCCCAACCCTGGTCCTGGAGGCACCCCAACAACACACCTGATTCAGGTCATCAGCTCATTAGTAGAGACTCCAAGACCTGAATTTGGCGTGTCAGAGAAAGGAGACATGCAAAATGTGCAGTGTTGGGGTGCCTCCAGGACCAGGGTTGGGAACCACTGCCCTAGAGATATAAAATGTTCGGGTCGTTCGTTATTCAGTTACAGTGGCAAAATGAGGCGCAGAGTTTGCGGCGAGTGCACAACTTTGGGGACACAACTTTTAAAAAACAATTTAATTAAATTGCACATAAAATTTGTATTCACTCTAAAAATGTTATATTGTTGCAGGATCTCTTTTTGAGGTATGGGAACATGCAGATTCAGTTACAGATGAACTCTCTCAAGCGCAATTAAATGGGTGTTTTAAAACAAAACTCAAACTTTTAAATTGTTTTCACCCTATATAATGCAAATGTACAAATATCGTTATGATTTGTGGATACTTACATTTTATTTAAACTGTTAAAAAGTAGAGGGACACACACATGTTTGAGAGAAGTTGAGAGAGTAAAATCGTTTTACTTCTCTTTTTTTCAATATCTGAGCGAGTAGCCTGGCAGCGGGGTTTTGATATATCTGGCAACAGAATGTCCTCCTTGTTTTCAGGTTATTTCCATGAGTCATTGCTATTGGTCAAGAGTTCGCCGAAACTGCGTTTACGTCACGAAGACGCCCATGCAAACAGTATTTGATTGGAGAAGTCATTCTGGTCTTGTGACAAGGAAATACAGGAGGCTGAAGGAAGGGCTGGTAAGCAAGTTAATTTAAATGAAATTAGTTGGTATTTTTTTTTAATAAACTTTTCCACTGTATTGCTATTTCCTGTGTTTTGTGTGTATTAATTATTAAAGGTGACATCTTCACAAGGAAGCGCGCAGAAACACTGCAGAGTTTCACTGTCGTGTGACTGGGCGATGTAATACTTGTGTTTGTACTGTGTGCTGCTGGTTCTCTACAGGATTCATTTGAACCATGGATTATTACCGTATGCTCGGCGTTGTTTTACTTTCTCTTCTTGCTTACACTAAAGCCGAGCAGGTGAAATTCGTCGACTGTGGTAAGTAGTACTTTGTGAAGTTCTTATATATTGAACAGCTCGTTTGGTCTTGATTCCAAACTTTATTTTCCTCGTTTTTCCTTCCAGGCTCAGCAGAAGGAAAAGTTGCTGAGGTTGACATCCATCCCTGCCCGTCACAGCCATGCCAGCTTCACAAGGGACAGTCCTATACAGTCAATGTAACATTCACCAGTAGTGAGTTGCTTTTCACATCTAGTGACCGCTCAAATAAACCAGATCTAAATGTAGGAAATCACCAACTTGTTTATATATCCCCTAGGTGTTGCCAGTGAGACCAGTACAGCTGTGGTTCACGGAGTGGTCGTTGGCATCCCCGTCCCCTTCCCTATTCCTCAATCAGATGGGTGCAAGTCTGGAATCCAGTGTCCTATTGAGCCGCAAAAAGCTTACACCTACATCAACCAGTTGCCTGTCAAGAACGAGTATCCAGCAGTAAGCGTTAACTTCCTCGACTACCTTTAGTTCTGAACAATGCTGTAATGTTGCATGCATTCACTTCCTTATTTGTTGGTTTGTTTATTAGATAAAACTGGTTGTGGAATGGGAATTGAGAGACGACTCCAGCAAAGATTTATTTTGCATAAAGTTCCCCGTTCAGATTGTGAACTGAAGGCCAACAGTGAAGTCAAAACGCTTACAAAGGGATACAATTAAGAACCGAGGCATCTGGATGTGTGCCTTTTCTATGGACCTTTTAGATCTAATATTGGTAGATGCAGATTTTATGATTTATTCTACTACTTTTTTCTAACCATGACATATTTGTCATTTTAATGTATGGTCTTTAACTATGCACACAGTGCCACTCTACAGAAGTTGCCTAATCCTAGCTGGTTTCTAAAATTGTATTAATGATTCACCAGAACGAGATGCTGACAAGCAAACAGTGGTCAGTGCCGGTGATTCAATCAAGTGTGCACTGAACTGCTTTGTGGCTGGTGTTCGGATGCGTCTAATCATAGTTTCTTTAAACAATTGGTTGTGAACTTTTTACTTGCATTTTAAATCTGCATATTTAATAAAGACTGCATCTTAAAATGAGCATATTTTCTTAAAAGATCTGTAAATGTGGCCACAAGCAAAAGGCCACATTTAACATGTAATTATGTCTGTTACTGTCTGAATGAAATAAACTACTTTTTTTATGGTGAACAATGATTTTTGTTATTCTTCTTGTTTGAGGATTTTATCCAGGATGTAAAACGAAGGCAGAATTCAAATATTCCTACTGGCGTACTACAGCTTTTAGAAAACAATTTAGGTTTTATTTCTATCTCTCTGCTACAGTTAAAGTTTAGGATCAGTACGATTCTATTTATTTTTTTATTTTTTTAATATATAAAAAGTCTCTTACGCTCATCAAGTCTGCATTTATTTGGCCAAAAATACAGTAAATATAGCAAAATATTATTGTAATTTAAAATAATTTCATTTTTTAAATATAGAGTAAAATGTATTCCTGTTACTCCAGTCTTCAGTGTCACATGATCCTTCAGAAATTATCAGTGCTAGAAACAACTGCTTAACATTTTTTGGATACCTGTGTTAAAAAGAACAGCATTTATTTAAAATAGAAACCTTTTGTAACAGTATACACTACTGTTGTTTTTTTGTAATTAATATACAGTGATCGTAAAGACTTCTACTGTTACAAATTATTTCTATTTTCTCATTCAGCTTTGCCACCACAGAAATAAATTATATTTTATAATATATTAAAGTAGAAAAATTGTATTCTAAATTGTAATACTATTTCACAAATTACTGTTTTTACTGTTTTTTTTTTTTTGATAAAATAAATGCAGCCTTGAAACTTTTGAATGGTAGTGTATATATTTGTTTAATCATTAACATCTAGAAAATTATTTAAATTCATTAGTTAATTATATATTAAAGTGTATTCATTATATAAATGTCAAGCTGCAAAGTTGTGCGATTACGAGAAAGTACAAAGGTTTATTTTTTTTATGTTGTCTTCTTACAGGAAACTGTCCAGTTTCTTCCTGCTTCAGTTTCAGTTCTGTTCTCTCAGGCAGCAACTTTTATATTCCTTTTGAGAGGTCATGTGTTTGAGGGCAGGTGGTTACGGTTGTGTTTCAATATGTGAGTTTATTATGATCAAACTAGCTGTAAGAGACGACGACGCATTTGTCTTTAAATGATTTCTAAAGCTCCTGCAAAATATGACTATTGGCTACAAAACTGAATCATGAAACCAAAATAACATTTGAATGTGTGCTTTTTATTACAAGGAAACAAAAGCAAGCAACATTCCCTCAGGTACAGAAGTTATTTGTGCATTGTACGTCATTTAAACACTCTTACTTGTTTTCCATCTTGGTTATCTAAGCAAACATTCTGTAAATTATTAGGACGTTTGTTTGGGACTGATATGAAGTGTATTGTGTTTCACAGGAATCTGCTAAAACCAGAGGACCGATTCTGTTCACTGACCCTATTATCACAAAACAGCATACTATTATCACCTGCCTTATCCCAAACCAGCTGGAAACACACATCAATTTCACAGGCATGCTGAAGAGGTCAACATAAAAACCCAACATGAGGTAGAAACCCATCATACCACAACTTCCTGTATGCATTTATTTAAATGAATCTCTTCCTTCTGTTCTAAACTGAAATGAAATGGAAAGTAACCTTGTAGCATATTTTTTTACGCAGCCCTTTCAAACAAAGTCAGAAAAATGGCTGCTTTATCTCATTTAGTGCAATTCTGTGCAAGATCAAGCATTTTGTTGTGACCAGTCAATCAAGGATTCTACATAACATAAAATCTTTCTTCCTGAAAAAAACATTTTAAAAACACCAATATTGGGCAATACACATTACATGATATGCTTGCTGTTGCCGATATAGAACTATCATTAACCATAATAAATGTCTTTTTCTTTACAACAATAAGTCGAGCATTGACATTCACACAAACATGCTGCTGTTATGTAATGTAATTGCAGGGGAGACGATTCTGCTCAACTCTTTTGTAAGTAAAAGTATAAAGTTTCAGAGCTAAAATGCATCAGTTTTGATCCTTGAGTCAGGTTTACGAAACTGACAAATGTTTCCATTTTCTTAAAAAAAAATAAAAAATACTTTGGGGCTGGAAGTGGATATCACCACCATGTTTTGGCTTTTCAATCCTGTCTGCTGATTTTGACAGATGAAGCAACAGATGTATTTTCACATTCAAAAAGAGGATCTGATAAGATCTGTAGCAAACAAAAGGAAGAGAAGATACTGAATGTATCAGGATTTCTAAATTACTATCTTGTGGACAGGTTTAACTGAAATTGGAACAAAAGAAAACTGAACTGTTAGAAATTTGAATGAAAGTAGTAAGGCATCTGATATGTTTTTAATGTTAGTACTTTAAAGAGCCATGCTGTACAGTTGATGCAAGTACAGTATGGAGATCTATTTTGCAGGACCCAGTTCATCCAAAACCAGAGCACTAGCGTGTTAACACAAAAGACTTTAGTTCAAACATTTTCCCATAATCCTCTGCTATTTCTGAGGGTTATTTCATTTGCAAAATGGTAAATAAAAAAATGGAGTATTCATCTGGACCCATTGTGTCTGTCATAGCAATGATACCTCTCCAAATAATGGTAAAATACTTTAAAATATCACAGGCAAGTCAGTTTGTCAAATCAACACCAAGATCTGTTAAAACATATCACAGGCTAAAAACTGAAAAAGGTACCACTGATGCTTTAAGCTGAGAGCGGCACAGGACTTGGATGAACTGTTAGCGAGCGGAGATATTCTGAATGATACTGAAGCCCTCACTGTCCGTTTTGTTTGAGCCTCTCCAGTCTCTGTAGCAGAGCATTTCCAAACGCTTCTCTGTATCCGGGGCTGAGAGAATCCAGCAGTGAGTAAACAGTCTCATGATACTGGGAGCTCAACTCCTCATCCACCTGATCGAAGCCGTGTCCCACCACCTCAAAGATAAGAAGAAGAAAGGTCAGAAACATTCCACAGATTCCTCTGGTATTCCTCACTTAGAGGTCACACTTGTGATCCTCAGCGGTCAAAACAGACCAAAGAAATGTATGTTTTTATTAATTAAATTAACATCGCATGTTATAGGTTTCAATAATATTTAGTCTTTAATATTGTGTATTTTAAGGGGATTTCATGGTGCTACACAATATTTATTCCCCTCTAAATTATGCAAAACTTTCTTCTATCTGATTTACAACTGAAAATAACGGATTAAAATCCAATGATTGGAAGACAGATTGGTGCCATCTGGTGGGAGAAATTCTCTGTATATAAAGAAATAAAGAAAATCAATGTACTACCACGATGGAATCACTAGATATTAGGGATGCAACGATTCACTCAAGTCACGATTCGATTCGATTCACGATTTTGA